CTCTCTCTCTCTCTCTCTCTCTCTCTCTCTCTCTCTCTCTCTCTCTCTCTCTCTCTCTCTCTCTCCCACAAACACACACACACACCCCACTCTCTCGCACGCACACACACACGCACAATTTAGATACAACCGCATGCACAGACTAGGTTTCGTTATTCGACCAACCCCTCGAATGGCTGATCGTCTGATGGGTCCGACTATCCAGCAGGACAAAGGACCCATCTCAACTAACATTCGCCAGCACGATCCTCCCAATTGGTAACACAAGTAAACACAACAACCCGCGCACGTCAGGCGAATCAACCTCCATGATGATGACAACAAGAGCATAAAACGGAACTCGAGAAAGATGCATCCTGAGGGGGACCAAACACTACCGATGAAGAAGCTTCGAAAGGCGTTATTCCTTTCCCTACGTAGGCGGAATGCAAACCCACCTGCGAGCCCACAGATCCAACATGCCCCCCACATCCAAAACCCCAAATCCAAAGCGCCGCCAAAGCCACATTTGCTTGCCTGACCGACGCAACGTTTAATCTTCCTCCTCTTCGTCGCTCTCGAGGTCGTCATCCTCTCCGAACGTGAACACCGACGCGTCAGCGGCGAGCGCCTTGAAGTCGCTGCTTGGGGTGAAGGAATGGAGAACCTCCTCCGCCGTCCGATCGTCTAAAGATTCTCTGCCAGGCCGCCCGACATCAAGTGCACCACTGGAAATGCGGGACCACCTCTCACCAAGGCCAACCGGATCCGTGACGCCAGCTGCGGAAGGAGGCGGCGGAGTACCCCGCTGAGGCGGAGTAGTAGTCGCAGCGAAAGGCGCTGACATCTCCACCGCTGAGAGAAGACTTGCGCCTCCGCCATCGTTAGCACCTATGGCGGAGAGAGGGGGAACGGGCGAGATTGCTCGTGCGTCGGCGTTCTCGAGACCAGCGGAAGGGAGGGGACTAGAAGGGAAAGGACTTTGACGTGCTGTCGATCCAGCGGAAGGACCTTCAAGTGAAGAACTGGGAGTGCCAGTCCCTCCTGGCAAAACAGGGGCTGAGAGTCTCTGTGATGAAGGAGAAGAGATAGCATCCGTTGTGCGAGAAGGAGATGACCCAAGAACTGCGCCGCCGCCGCCGCTCGCGGGTACCATGCCCGCGTCGCCGGCTAAACGCCCTTGCAAAAGCGCATTACTCGCCGCTGGCTTGCCGCCACTACCAGCAGTACTGGTCGCTGCACCGCCACCTCCCTCTCCATCTACTCCTACCCCGACCGCAGCGCGACTGTTGCTCCCACCACCTCCCGCCGACATTGTCCCACTGTTGGCGATACCAAGCCTGCTGAGACTATCCATGGCATTCTTCACCCCACCAACGATGTTTGCCATAGCTGCTGCTGCAATCGACGTTGAAGGAGGCGCGGGCGCGGGCGCCGACATCTCCGCGCCGCCCCCCACCTGCCTCCCTTTTCCATTCCCATTCCCAACAGCAGCACCTCCTCCTTCCTTTGCAAACGCCCCTGCAGCAGCAGCACCACCACCACCAGGCAGCCTTCTCCCATCATCATCACCACCCATTTGTCCATCATTAGCCCTCCCGTTGGCGGAGCCAACAACCCCTCCAAGCTTCGTCAATGCCGCCGCTCTCCGACTCGCAGCATCCCCGCTCTCCTCACTCTCACTGTCCGAAAATATGTCATCCTGTTTAGACCCCGTCCCTCCCATCAAGGCACCGCCGACTTCAGCTGCCCCGCCGCCAACCGACACGACTGATGAAGCAGCTGCGCCGCCGGGATGTTGCTGCCGCAAAACCCTGCTGTCTGTAGTAGCTTCCTCAACACCGCGGACAACAACCCGATTGCCACCACTGCTATTACTAGTCGTACTACTGCTCCTAATGCCAGGTGGCGAGGATCCAAGGCGACGTGAAGAAGAGGAAGACGAGGAAGAATCACGGACCCCCGAGTCCCCGCTACGAGTCCCCGCAGGATTCGTGGCGGAGCCCGACGGCGGGCCAGCCGCCGCCGCTGCGGCGGCGGCGGCGGCTGCATCGCCGTCGAGAACAACGATCTCGACTACCAGTCCAGGCGAAGGCAGCCGTCGTTTATCGAAGGCATCCAATTCCCGAATAGTCAACATCTGCCTGCTGTCCATCATCTCGGTGTTGAGCCAGCAAGAGAAATCGCCGTGGCGGTCGTGGAAACAGACTTTGAAATCCCCGCAGAGCTCAGCGACGCACCGCTCCCCAGGGAGAGCGAAAACCACAACTCCCTTCCTCGGCGCGTTGTGCCACAAGTCGTCGGGCATCAAATCCCGCGTCCGCGGGTGCTTTCGCGTAGAGAACACCAGGCCATTGTGATCGTATATGGCTATGGCAGGGCGAATCCAATACGGACACCTGTGCAAGCGAATCCCGCGAAGGATGTGCTTCTGCGCCTTCGGCGTCTCGCCGTTCATGTCTCTTAGTATCCTCTCGAAGTACTTGACATAGCGCTGCTGACTAGGGATAACCAGAGCCAGACCGTCAACGCAGCGTTTGGAGTTGAAATAGGCGATAGCTTCCTCTGCCATCGCAAAGAACTTGAGGAAGAGGAGGAGACAACAAATCATCAAGCCTGTCCTTGCCATGCCCGCCTTGCAATGCACAACGACAACGTTGTCCATGCCCGCTCTAAGCCACGCGTACGCGCTTTCGCAAAAGGCCATCAACATCTGCAGAGGCGGGCAGTTATGATCGTCGAAGGGAAAGCAAGCGACCTTGCCCTCGAACAGCGAAGCGTCATAAAGACGCTCAGAACACAAATTGTACACCTTGTAGCACCCCTTGTGATGGGTATCAAAGAAGCGGATCACCTCCTCCATGTGATTGCGATAAAACCCCTCCATATATCCAAAGAGACCGGAGCTGATATCGCCAGCAGGGAAGCCCATCGCTATCACATTCTCCGTGATGTAAGACATGTCCAGATCGAATCCATCTTCTTGGTATCGACGCTTATTCTGGGAGACAAGATGGCGCGCCCTCGTCGTGACAGACTTGATGGCCGAGTTCTTCATCGTAGACAGACCCTTTGTGAAGAGCCCAAGCGGCGAATCCTGAAGAGCAGACCTGGGAGACCGAGAGGGAGTGGCGCTGGGGGGCGCAGAAGGAGGAGCGTTCAAATTGTTGTTGTTGTTGCCAAAAGCGGCAGCTGCCGCAGCAGTAGGACTGCTGCCCAAACCCGCCGCCGCGACAGCTGCTGAATCCTCGACCGACATCTCAATGATCGGCACTTTCGAGGGAGATGACCTAGATCCTCCCCCTCCCCCCCCCCTGCTTGGCAGCAACGATGAGCCTCTCATCGACAGTAGAGGCGATGATTTGATTCCCGCAAGACCCTGAGAGAAGAGATTAAACGTCGATGAAACTCCCCCAGCAACTCCTCCTCCTCCTCCGCCTCCTCCTGGAACGCCACCGGCGCCAGCAGATTTATTCTCCTTCTCCTTGATGTCGCTATCCAGCTGTTGGCATTGTTTGCCTCCATCTTTCAAAGGCAATCCCTCCTCCCGCGGAGCCGCTGATGCTCTTGCTGCTGGACCACCACCGCGTTTGCCGCTACTGTCCCTCTGTAGAACATTGAGAGCTTTCAGACTAGAAAAACCTTTCGAGAAGCTCTGGAAGGCTGTCTGAGCTGCTGCCTCCCGCTGCTGTGGAGCGACAGCCGCCGCCTCTTTGTTTGGTCCGACATTCCCATCACGATCCGCATGAGCGGTCACAACACCTGCATCACTGCTCATGGTCACTATCTCTACCCCCCTATAGCCCCTATACCGACCCCCCCTCCACGTTCACCTTCGAGTTGGCTTTAACTGCCCCACCTCTGATAATGATGATCGACCCGACGCTGCTTTGCTATATTTGGAACACAGATTTCCTCCGTCGAACCCAGCTTTCCCCGCCTTCGCGTACAGAGGACTCCCGGGAACGCTTCCGTCGTCGATGGACGACGCACAAGCACAACCACTCTCATAAAAAATCCACTCCTGTGCTGCATGATTCAAGACCTACGGAAAATGATCGAAAGACGACAAACGCAAAGAGATGTGTCAGTGAAAACACCATCAACTCTACTTCCCCCGAGCACAACGCACACTGATAATGAGAGTCTAGGGTGCGTTGTGTTCGGGGAAAGACGGTAGTCGCTAACATGGACACATGTAAGACTGCAGGACTTGACAAAACATCAAGCGATATTACCAATCAGTCAATCGGTGCTCGGGTGCTCTCTCTCTCTCTCTCTCTCTCTCTCTCTCTCTCTCTCTCTCTCTCTCTCTCTCTCTCTCTCTTTGTGTGTGTGTGTGTGGCGTGCGTGCTCTGTGTCCGCTTGCGTGCCTCTCTGCCGCTCGATCGCGCGCACATATTCTCCCGCTCCAGCCCGCACCTCAATTGCTTGCGCACACTAACACCCTCTTTCCCTCCGGACGGGTGCGTTCTGTTCGGGGGAAGATGATAGTCGATAACACGTATGAATGTAAAACTGTAGGACTTGACAATACATGTCGCAAAGCTACCAATCAGTCAACCGGTGCATGGGTGCAATCTCTCTCTCTCTCTCTCTCTCTCTCTCTCTCTCTCTCTCTCTCTCTCTCTCTCTCTCTC